GAAGCACATTCTTATCTATTAGACCAGAAGTACTTCTGAGCACCCTGGGGTTCCTTTCAGAAAATGCAGCTCAAAAGAAGAAATTCCGTAGTCCGTGTGCTTTGAGGGTTGTAGGTTAAGAAAGACATGAGAATGTCATACATGTCTGTTTTCCCATGTTTTGAACTGAGGCAAGTACACGAGAAACAGAGAACTGTCCATTTATCGTAGGGAGAGGGGACTCCACGCTCTATTTTCAGTGCATTACAGCTCTTTTTTGGAGTTACTGTTTGGAACACTAAATATAAGTCAGGCTGAGAAAAGAGTATATCAGGTTGCTCAGAGCTTTGACTCAACTTATTGCTGAGCAAGTGAGTTTGTTTTCTTGTGTTTGAAGCACAAATAGTGCTCACAGTGTTGAAAACTGAACAGGTAAAAGGGAATAAGACTAGGAAGGCAGGAACTTGGAGACAGTCCCAGTGCTGGATCTTTATTATAAAATCTACCAGCTTTCATATGGCTGCAGTCAGCAGCAGGGTATTCAGAGTATGTGTTGATGGAGCAAAACAAGGGGGAATCATGCTATCTTTAAAGCAAGTTAGCTTTAACAGGACAATATTAAACCTGCATTATTATTAAGCTCTGTCTCACCTAATTATCCTGCTCAAAAGCTACCATGAGCTGTGTCATGGCATGGACAGACTCCTTCTGGAACCTAAATTAGCTCAGGGTCTTGTCAAATGCTGATGTGCTATAGTGGGCACACTATATATGTGTATGTATGTATATATGTGTACGTATATATGTGGGCAGACATTATTTTCATTTTCCAGGAGTCATGCATTGATGAGGTTGACTTTGGATGGTCTGCACATTCACAAATCAGTTCTGTTTTATTTAGAGATCTCTGCAAATAAAGGCATTGTCCTTGCTCTCCTTGAGATGGGCAGAGAAATATGCATTCATTTTGCTTGCCTTGTTTTCAGACAAAACTGCTCAGAAAATTGGCAGATAGGAGTTTTGAAGGGAGGACAGTGTATAGCTTGCTACAAACCTTTAACATACCCATTGGCATTCTTTTAGCTGATAGCAGAGGTGAGAAAAGGAAGAAGCAGAGTTGACATGTAAATGTTGCAGGATCTTGTTGGTATTCGAGGACATTCTAGTGTAAACACACCTTTCTTTTTTAACAAGTACATTAAATAGCCAAAGCAACACTGCATTTAAGGGGGCTGAGAAAACAGATCTTGCAAATTGCTGTATATTCTCACAGGCTCAACTTGATGTCCAGTAGTCTGCTGCTCCTTTTGTTTCTGTTTTTGGTTTTATGACAGGTGGACTAAATCCTTTCAGTTTTCAGTTGTGTTCCCTCTATAGACAAGTGTATACTGAGTTTTTGTCACATCTGTGGTATTTCTTTGGCCTGAAGTTCACACTCTTAGGGAAAGAAAGAGTTTGCAGTTAAAATTATTTATGCTTTAACTAAATGCTAAAGCAAAAATCAGTGTAACATAAAAAAAAAAAAAACTGGGACCAGATTTGCTACTCACAATTTAATTGCCTCATAAAAATATATTATAAAGCATTTCCTAATACAATATCTATTCTTAAACAAACTTTTTAACAAAGCATTTTGTTGTATTTAGTTAAAAAGCCCTTAGGAAGGGAGGTGCTTCTCACTGCCGCAAGGACTCTGTATTTGCGTCAGGACTTGGAAAAGCCCTCTTTGGAGATGCAGAAGTCATTTGCAGTTGTAACGCYTGGACCTATTTGTTCTTCCACAGGTCTTTTATGGTCAACTTAACTCTTCTAGTTTGGGCATAAAAGAAAATGTGTATTAGTTATACTAAAAAAAGACACTAACTTCCTGTTTTCCACAAGGAAAAAAAAGTCTCGCATGTAGAGACGGTTCCAATTATTTCTACACRAAGATTTTTCTGCCTTATATCTTAGGTAAAATGTTTGCGCTCTGTGGTCTTAGCTACTGCAAACTGCTACTTTTTGTAAAGGGCAGATGAGCTTTTGGTAGTGTTCCTCATATAAAAGTGTCTCTTCTGTGCCTCCARTTGTCTTATTTAGAGCTGTGTATTGGTGTTCTTCCAAAACTGGGATAACTTTTTTTTCTCTTTTGTAGACGTGTGAGTCACAAAGTTGGCAGTTACCTGATTAAGCATTGTAAAGATGCAAGCATCCTGCAGCCAGCAAGTTTCTTCTTGCTGCTCAATGCCCCGTGGGCTAGGAGTGCCCCAAATCTGCTTTCATGCAGTCACAGCACTTGTAACACTACTTAGGGAAAAACACCTGGGTGAGCCTGGCAGTGGGGACAGACGGCGGTGTGGGCCAGTCCCTGCCACATGCAACTGCCCAGCGCTCTCCAAAGGCCTGGCCCAGGTGACCTTCCCACCCATTCTGTCATCAGCGCTTCTTGGAAAATGCGCCAGCCACAGTGACGGTGGCAGTGGCTGAGGTTACACCACCAGGTCTTGTTTATGTCCCAGCACTGCCAAGCAGCTGCCTTCTGGATTTGCTTTAGGGAAGGACATCCCCATGTCAGGGAGGCCAGGCCCAAGACTTCTGCTGCCCCAGCCAGCTGTGCCCCTAATACCACACATCACATCCAGGTTTCCTTTGGATTGCAGCCTTCTTCTAGAAGTTAAATCTTGCAGCAGGGAGCAGTGAGGTTACTCTTTCTCAGAACCTCCAGTTTGGGACAGGTTACACCCAGGTGTCCTTTTTTGTTTATTTGTTGCTGTTTTATGGGATAGCAAAGAGGCTATGAGAATGGGAGCAACTAAAACTAGGTAAACTGAGTTATGGCAGTATGAGAAAATCCTTCTGACTGCCTGTTTCRGTAGCCTGCCTGAGGTGGCCCTCTGCCTCCTAGGCTGCTGCCAGCATATTACGTGTTCCGCCTCCGAGCCTCGTGGATGTTTCAAATGAAGAAGAGTTTAGACTAAAAAGTATCTCACAAGCTGAGCTAAACACCTGTCTTTGCTGTTCTTTTCAGACTCTTTCTCAGGCAGCTGTTTATAGGATAGGCAATATGGCTGAAAGAGTAGATGGGAAAAAGGCCTAGAGTAGACGGTAGGTTTGAGGCATAAGTCTCCTTCCTTGGAGATCTTCAGAATCCGCTTGGACACAACCCTGTGCCACATGCTCTAGGTGATGCTGCATGTGCACAGGGGTTGGACTAGGTGATCTGTAGAGGTCCCTTCCAGCCTTAAGCATTCTATGATTCTGTGATTCTATGATTCTATGATAAGGGAGAAGAAGGACATGACAAAACTGAAATTGCCGTGAAATAGTTGAAATGGTGCAAGTTCATAAATCAAGGGGAGGTGAGTGAAGTGTAAACAAAAAGGGAAAGGTTTTGAAGGGCTGATGGGAGGGAAAAGAGAGCTAGCAGTTGGTGCCTATTGCTCTAGTCTAATAGCAGCCTTGGAGTCCCTTGGGGCCTGAGGGAAGAGAAGGTGAGCACAGAGGTGTCACCCATCAAGGACACTATAGCATCAGAGGCCGCAGGGTTTTTATGTCTGTTTGGCACAGGAAGAGCTGGACACTTGGCTGTTTACTGCCTGCATGCTCTTGTGTGGGGGACTGTCCTTGGGAGCCTCAGGCTGTTACAGCGGCAGGACTGAACCCGACTTTCTGGTATTAACTGCCCAGGTGTGCAAGCAATAACATATGTGTAGGTCACTGAAATCTAAGATGGCTGCCTGAGAAAGTAGAATAAATAAAACCCTTTTTAGTGAACAGAGACACTTCCCTCCACTTGTGTGTCCCAAGATGTCCATTCAGTTGGGAGTGTGTACTCCTCATGCAGAAATGCCAAGTGGTGCAGACTGGGTGAACGTGGAGAGCGTGGCCAGCAAGGCCTCTGTCTGGTCCCACAGAGAATGAGGGGTTTCACTCTGGTCATTAAAGCAAATAAATTAACAAGTTATTAAATATCAGAAATCATAAATCACGGAGTTCCAGAAGGAACTTTCACTGAATGGTGTGCATTATATTTAAGTGTATTTATAATTATCCTCAAGGTTATTTGGGCTGTGATAATTTACAGCACGCATGCAGCATGGGGTTGGTTAGAAACCAACACCTTAGAAATGCATAGTGTAGGCAAGGAGGTGAAGTCTGCAAACATCTACATACACAATTTAAAAAATGTCAGACTGGGCTGAGAGCAGATGCTTTGATCTCTTTGAGCAGTAGTTGCTCCTAAAGACTTAAAATATTGAATAAATAATAATATTTGCAGTTGCTATGCCAACACATTTGCTTAACACCAACATCTCATAACATGAGTTACTTAGTTTGAAAATTGATGTAGTCATATCCTGAGTAAGTTGTCACAATAAAACAGTTCTGACTTTGGATCAAAAGCAAAGATCAAATTTCCCTACAGAGTAGATGCCAGATCTTTTCCTCCAATTTTTTTCCTCCARATCTTTTCCTCCATTTAGGTTACAGATCTATAATCCAAAACACAGTAGTAGTTAGTAAGTAAGAAATCATTGGATATTGACATAGTGCATTATCACCATACTTTTAAATTTGTATGCCTGAGGGCTTGTAAGAATACTTTTTTTTTTTTTTTTTTAAAGGAAAACTTAAATATTTTCAGGGACAAGTCTTCCTGTTAATGCAAAATTATTCTAGTTTTGTAGCATCTGATGAGGTTATCACATTTGTTATTGAAGTACCCGTCAATACATTTTTATAGTCACTTTTTGTACCTCAGTGCTTAGTTGAGATAAAACTTGAACATGAACCTTGCATGAAAGTCCTATTTCACTCTATATGAAAAGTCAGACTTGAATTTTTAAGCATTCTGAACTTTATGAATGAATTATTGCAAAACAAAAATATTCACATTATACATGAAAGCTAGCATGCTTTGCTTTATTAGAGTCAACCTTCTTTTCACATTTGTTTAAAATTAGCCTTTCACTGCAGGCCAGAAACACTGTAAGGGATTTTTTAAAATTTTCCTTTCTAATACATCTTCTTTTTGATTTCAGCCTGGGGAAGAGCTGCTGCTGCCACATACCTTGTTGGCTTTATACTTCTAGTGATCTGCTTTGCTCTGGCCATTATAGCATTTGCCATTGATACACTCCGGTTCAACTTCATAAGAGGGATTGGTGGCTTGCTTTTTGTCGCTGGTAAGACAATATATGAGGTAAAGTTTACTTATACAAGCATATCCATACCAGAACTGATGTATCTATCAGTTGATTCTACACCCAGACCTAGTGTCTATATGTACTTAACTCCCAGTTAACATAAGGTCCATCAGGATAGGAGGTCCATTTTCAAAACCTCCAAATTATGGATGGTTTTAGCTATAAGTGTTATGGAGGCCAGATATTACCTTAATTCTTTTTTTCTCCTGTTTCTTCAGCTGTGTTCTCCATCATGGGCTTGGTGATTTATCCTGTAAAGTTCTCGACTGAGATTGAAATGACAGGAGTCAATATGTTCAGCTGGGCGTATGGCTTTGGCTGGACCACTGCTATTATGGAAATATGCTTGGGATTCTTCTTCTGCTGCCTTCCTAACTATGAAGATCAAGTCTTGGGTAATGTGAAGCCAACGTATTTTTACTCTTCCCCGTAAACATCATGAAAAATGCATTTGTATTTCAGAGATATTTGACAGATTATCTAAATTTTCCAGAATATCATCATCAGATGTTAGTAGAAAATGCTGGAAATTTTAAAAATGTATGTAGAAAAACACTACTGCCATTTTACAATAAAGTTATCTATTCCATTCTGGACCTTCATATCTGAGGTGAGTTGCTTAGATTAAGTCCAAACATTTAAAAAACTTGTATTTCCTCATTCATGCCCATTAATGAGGGTGTATATGTATTCTGTTACATATTACATGTAATAGTATTTCCAATTAAATTCAGAAAAGCTCTCTGAACCCCCGGGAAACCAAACAACACTTATCATCTTCCTGAAGCAAAGCAGCTCACAATAATCCTATTTTGTATATATTAGCTTAGTTTATACTGAAAATTTTGCATGTTTTTTCAAGAGCCATATATCTTCATCCATGGATTCCAATAGTGCATTAGATAAATTAGCCAGCATGCACTTCATAGCTTTGCTTCCTTTTTTTCATTCATTAATTCAAGGCACAGGGATAAGGCAGAGAGAAAACCCCCACCTTTGCCCCAATAAACTGTATTCCAACTGCCGCCTTCCGTTTGGAATATAATTATTTATTTAGGAATATTTGTAAGAGTAAACAAAAATCATCAGTAATCCAGGCATTCCTAAAAATCCCAACATGCCCTTACTGGGGCCAGCCAAGACCAGGCTGAAGGAGAGGAGATTTTAAGCCATTCCTGCCTGGTACAGATTTGGGTTGAAGAGACTTCTGATGTGTCCTTCTTTATGAGCATCTACTTTTTAATCCACTGTATCAAAATCTGTGTCTTTAAAATTTTCCTTACCTTATTCCAGCTCTTTTACTCAGCATGAAAGGGTCAGGAAAGACTTGAACAGATTTATGATTCCCTTCAGCCATCTAGGTATGCAGCAGGAGTAGAAACAGGGAGTAGCTACCTGTAGAAGTCTGAATTTAGATATGAAATATTTGTGAAAAGGTCTCTTTTTCATTAATCTGCTGTTTGTAAGTACTTTAACAGCAGAAAGTATATATTTAATATCTAACTAAAATGCACAGATATGCCCTACCATCTCATATAAAGACTCTAAYTAGAAGAAGAAATCCCATGTTATAAAACACATCTGGTATCTTATACTTCACAATATTGTAAACCTCACTATATTGCAAGCAATAAAGTATACTCAAGATCGTGTTGTTTTCTGCTTTGCATATCCTAACTTTTAAAAGTTCCATTTCTTATGTTAGGTGAAAAAATAGGTAATTCTGTTATGTATTWAAAAAAATAATAATTAGCTAGAAAGGGCTATTATCTTGTAACACATCTGCATTTTTTCAATAATCTGTACTTTATGAAAATTGCCATATCAGATGTTCTTTACTGCAAAGAGTAGGAGGGGTAAAGTAGTAAGCTTTAGGAAGCTTTGGATAGCTGAAATTAATAAAGAGAGAAGATTTAAACTTTTTTTTTTCCCCCAGCAATTAGTTCCATTCACTTTGGGAGAGTCACTTTTAACTTTGATCAATAAACATGAAAGGTCTATCAAACCAACGTGGAGTGTATGCACATCAAAGAATAGCTAGACCAGAGCTTGCAAATACATTAAGAAGATAATTTCTATTTGGAAAAAAATGAAAGTAAAATAGATTTGGGGAAGTAGTGTATATATAAAGTGGTTTGCAATTCTTCATGTAACGATGTGTATTCAGGAAAAAATCTATCACAAATCTTTTTATTATACTTATTATAACTAATAAATGACAGTATGTATGTACTGTTTCACAACTAAGTCTTAGATTTGTTCTTTTCTTGGTATACCATGAAATGTGGAATTCTTTATCAAGATATCATTTTGGAGGTTCTTTGAGAGGRGAGAGTGACTTATAAATATATAACTTCACAACAACTTATGTTATTATTTAGCTGTATCCTGATTAGATCCTATGGCCTTGTCCACATACACACATGAATCCTGAGCTTGTTCTGTTAGTCTGGGTTCAACTAACTATACACATGAGTCTGTACTGCAATGTATTACAGTTCATTTTGGCATGAAAGACAGTGAATTCCTGTTCATCTAATAGTGTGGTTCAGTGTGGTCCTGCTCCATACCTTTGCTCCAACAGATGTGGCAATCCCTTGGGGGATGCAACAGGAAACTTGAGCAACCAATGATTACATTTCTTCAAATGACATTGACCCAGTGTAGGGGAAGACCCAAACAAGGCTAAGAAGCATGACGCCAACCTTGCKGAGACAGCAGAGTGTAATGAAAAGGCAAAGAAAACCATTAGTGACAAGTAACCTCTCCAGCTTTCACCCCTTTCCTTGCTGGGCTCAGCAATTTCTCCTCCTTCTCCTCCCTAAAGGAGGAAGATCTGTGTCCCCCAGGTCCCCCTCCTGGATGGCTGCAGTACCATGGTGCTCAGCCCTGCTCCCTGTTCCCTACTGCCATTTTCCTCTTCCCAGGAAGAGGAATGGTGTTGCTAAGCCATACAAGAGCCAAGATCAGCTCTGCACCATGGACATGTCATGCTCCCTGCAAGGAAATGCTTTCTGTAAGAAAAAGGTGAGTCAGGTGAGTATCCAACATGCAAAAGCACCACAAATACCAGGCTTCAATTGCAGGTATTTAGGGCAGTTTGCTTCCAATAATATCAGGTCTGTGCACCACAGATCTATAGAAAAATGCATTTTAAGCCCAATTGATGGAAAAAGAAATGTAAGACAAAAGAGTATAAAGCCCTCTAGTTTCCAAACACTGCTGTACAAATTCCAGGGCCACCTCCTCTGCCAGCCATAATGAAAGAAATGTCTTCTTAAGAGATAATAGCAAAACAGCATGCAAAAAACAATCACTTTTGACCAAAAAAAAAAGTAGTCTAAATGCAGGAGCAGAAGACATAGTTCAGCTAGACTATCAGCTAACTGATTGTCAACTAAACTGTTAGATTACTCTTGAGTAAAGTAAATGTAAGAATGTTTGTATTTTTAACCAAAGGAGAAATCAGAGAAAAAGAAGACATCCTATAAGTTCTGCATCTGCATCTCTTAGTTGGGGATCTTTCTTAAAATCCTACTTGTCAGTAAAAGGGCATCTAACTTATACAGCTTTCCTGTGACCAATATTAATGATAGAGATTAGGAAAGAGCTGATGCCTGCAAGATGTAGCTTTTGAGAACATCAGGCCTACAAAAGAGGAAAAATAAAGATGTTACTGCCAAGGGCATTGCTGGTCTTCCGGTTAAATTTTAAAAATATTTACTGAGGATGCATCCTTCAACAAATTTATTTTATTTAATTCAACAGCATCACAGTAAAAATAAGTCAAAATTGTTTTGAAAACAACCAGAATGTCAAGCAGCCTTTCAGGGGTAAACCGAAGCAAAAGACATAATGAGGACTTTCTATCAGTAAGATAATACGTTACATTTAATTTTTGGCACTTACACCAGTTTGTGTAATGTGTGAATGTCTTGGTCCCTTCATTTTTCTTTGCAAAAATGTCCATCTTTCACTATCTGTCTTTCAGATCACAGAATCACAGAATCACAGAATCACAGAATGGTTGAGGTTGGAAGGGACCTGTAGGGATCACCTAGTCCAGCCCCCTGCTCCAGCAGGGACACCCAGAACACGGGACACAGGGCGGCATCCAGGTGGGTTTGGAAGATCTCCAGAGAAGGAGACTCCACAACCTCCCTGGGCAGCCTGTGCCAGGGCTCTGTCACCCTCACAGTGGAGAAGTTCTTCCTCACATGGAGATGGAACTTGCTGTGTTGCAACTTACACCAATATCTCCATTTGCTTTTAAAAATAGCCCAGCTAAGCATAACCAATGCAATCAAGATGGCAACTGTATTAAAGTAGTGCATATCTTGCTATATGAACTAATGCCCTGAGTGCAATTTTGGCCTCATTTACATCACTCACAAAACCATTATTGATTTCCAAGAGGCTGACATTTTATACTTGAAGGACAAACRCTTTTTCTACCTTTGCTCAGGATTACTTGCATCTCTGTGTCTAGTCAGTTCCACTGATTTTAGCAGCTAAACTTCTGGAATAGGTCAGTGGTCTTTATAAGGTAAGGGACAAGAGCCATGGCAGATGGGATGATTTCCAAAATAAAGGATAACTCAATGTGTGAAAGACTGGCAGGTTCTGCGTCCTATTTAAATTATATTTTGTTAGATACACTATAGAGTCACAGTAAAAAGAGGAATTTTCCATTTGACACATTTCAACTGTGCCACAGTTATTATTTCTCATAATTTTTTTCTTGAATACTTGCATGTTTTTATGTTCAGTGGRCTTCTGAGTGCTCTGAAGATGATAGATCTATGACAATAATGAAAAAAAAAACAAGCTTGTGGTAGGTCCATTTGTATACTTAGGCAAGAAACCCAAACCAAACAGACTTACTGGAATTATGTTGAACTGAACTACCAAAGAATTAATTTAGAATTATATTTGAAAGTCAAATAAGAAAACCAAGAAAGAAACGACTCCTAAATGGCTCATCATGGGGAAAGTGAGGATGAAGTTACAYGCATCTTCCCTTTTCACCCACTGTCAAAATACTAAGCTTGGTAGATTTCTTTTTTCAAGAGCATTTGCTACTGTGGTGCAGCTGCATAGTAAGGACTTGGCCTACATTTTATCTACAAATTCCCTGGTGCTAAGTGCCGAAATTTAGAATAACACATGGATATTTTTAAGCTTGTACATGGTTCTGCTGAGGCCAACGGAGCTGTTCTTGTACTTGGTTCCTTAAGGGACTTAAAGAGTAGAGTTCATATGTCTGTCTATATATACCATTTAGATACTCAGATTGCCTGCAAATGAAACGATGTAAAAAACTTTTCTGTGATTTTTTTAATCTTTCCTTGTAGTCACAGTGAACATGTGGATGTGTTATAGATTCATAGTTAAATCTATATAGTTATATATATAGATTATATATATATTTAA